CCGGGGTGGTGGTGTCTCACGAAGGGAGTTCCTTACCCGGTGTGCAAAAATCCAATCCACGCACTGAGTCGAGATAGCGATTTTATTTCATTGCTGCGCAGAGATGAGTGCTGGGTGGAAACTAGCACACCAAACGAGACTTTATGCGCCTTATTTGTACACAAAACTTACAGAGGTAGTAATGATTCTTTTTACGATGATTTGTTAGTAATTACCATCCTGTCTGCTATTGGTCAACTGTATTCTATTTAGCCTCTTTTGCTATGTAAATGAGCACGCATGCTCCTTATGGGTGTTGGGGGACGAATCCTTTTGGTCCTAAATTGAGTCGGTGGTCGCGATCTCCCCCTGCCGGAATTACCTTTCCTCCAGTTACTGTTTTTCAGCAATCGTCCAGTTTTTCCGGCACCTGCTGGGGTAGGATGTTCCCTTTTATCAGTTTCTCAGTACTTCTTCAAGGTCTAGTTGCTCCGGGATGTCTTTGGTTAAAGGATACGGAACGTTTGTTGTTCGGATTAGGGATGGTTAAGTGTTCTTTACTTGCCAGCTTACAAAAACATCTTGGCCTGATAGGATGTTAGCTAAGTTTCGGAGTTAGCTTTCAATAATGGTATCACTGCTTTGTGTTCAAATATCACGTTTATTTGATAGGAAATGTTATAGTGAGTCCATTGTAGACAGGTGAGTCTAGAAATGACAGGCATGCAGTACAAGGATGCAGTGACACAGGGCAGCTGAAGATGTTCACGTTTCACCCCAAGGAATTTCTCCTTAGGAAGAAGCAATAGTCCATCAGCAGGACTGATCCAGAAGTTAAGTTGCACTTGTACAACATCATATTAAAACCATTTTTGCTAATACCTTTGACAGTGATTCTTTAAGTGATCTAAATCACCCATTCGCGACAGCAGCCAGTGGAGTTATTGTAAGATCCACGTAGAGACTAAGAGTGAACTGAAATGTACAAACACCAATAAACGTAGGCAATAAAACACAGGATCTTTTATGTAAGACATAAAACTAGGTGTTTTAATGGTAGGAGAAACTTGCTGAATAACAATCATGACTGGAAGACAAATACCAACGATTGTTCACGTTCAGGAACCAGAAGTTGTGTTAACAGTGACAGACTGCAAAGAGGTAGCAGAATGAGTTACTGGCCAAACATTGGCCTGTTTACCTCATGAAGCTGTCTTTGTAAAATGCTCCAATGTGTATTTAAAGCTTTACTGTAGGAGGAATAAGTATTTGTTTCTGGGGGCTCTCTTAAAAATACTTAAAATATTTGTACATCTGAATTACAGTAGCTGTGCATTTTTACTTTGAATTAATTTCTGTGTACCAAATAGAAATCCTTAATGACCTGTTCAACAACAACAAAAAAACCCCAAAAAAGTTTCATGTTTAATTAATGTGACAGTAATTTTTTATCTGAAGATAAAAGTGCGTTTCAAACATCTTTTCAGTTGCTAGCAAATGCTGTTACAAAGTTAATTTTCAACAACGAAGGGGGAAAAAACTCATCTAGTGAAATTAAGTCATATTTCTGTGCTGCAACGGGAAAAGTCAATGAAAATAAACCACGGGTACTTGCCTAAATAAGGGAAAGTATTTCTTTATGAAGCTCCAGCTATGATTTCTATCTGTACTTTACTGTCTGACTGGTTTTATCTGATTGTTTAAGATCTCTCTGCAACTTAACATTGCACAACCGTTTCACCTTTCTTGTTTTGCAGACTTGGGATGCAGCTTTGGCAAGGACTGCGAGGGCATGGGCACATAAATGCATTTTTGAACATAACGTATACTTAAGTAGGAAACATCAGTGCCATCCTAATTTCACATCTATTGGAGAGAATATTTGGGTTGGAAGTCATCAAGCATTCTATGTTGCTGATGCCATTAAATCGTGGTATGATGAGGTTGCATTCTATACTTTTGCAGTGCAGAAATGTACTAAGGTTTGTGGTCATTACATTCAGGTAAGAGTTACCTTCAGTAAAATGTCCTGTATAGTGCCTACCAGAAGAATCAGTAGGGTCTGTAAATAATACAGAGTTGTATATATGGTTTGTAGTGACTGACAGCTTACTGTCTTCTGTAATCTCAAGCAATGGCTGTACTGCCAGTTACCCCTGCACTGGTTCACCTCTTTGTTTTGTATAGTCTTGTATAATAGTAATAATCCGTTCTTCTTGTCCACACTATTGACTCACTGAAAACCTCACTCCATTGTTTCATTCTACATTAACTTTATGAAGTAATAATTTCAAGTTTTCTAGCTGCAGGGCCACACAGTTCTGAATTCTGTAAGTTTGGAGATGCTGTTCAAAATAATCACAGTATTATTATCACATTGCAGAATGTCTGTGGGAACTTCTTAGTAGAAATTTTAACAGGAGGAGAAAATCCAGCCAAAGTAAATTGTATTCTTTACAAATCTTGTAAAAAAGGAAGGGGGAAAAAAAAGAGCATCAGCAACAAAAGAGGCAATTTATGACATATTTCTGAGTGGTAATTCTGACAAAGTTAATTCTGCTGAGAAAGTAAAGTGTTTCTTTGAACACTTATTATTTTAAATGGATTTACTCTTCCCCATGCTTAAAAAATAAGCCTTGCAGTAGAATTAGTTTCATCTATGACCAAACACATAATATTTCACTGATCTAAAACAGAAGATAATTTTAATCTCAAGTCAGATCTTAGCTAGTAAAAGTGACTGTTTAATTTCTTATCTCAGTAGTCACAGATGCTTAGACTGTACTTTGTGCAAATTACAGATGAAAATACTGTGCAGTATACTTAAAGTGAGACTGTTACCAGACACAATGGTAGCTGTGCAGTTCTTTTTGAGTGGACTCTCTTTGTCTTTGGATTATGAAATGAAAATTCTTCAAGTTACCGGAATCATTTACAAAGCATTTTCTGTTTTGAGACTTTTTACACCTCTTTTTATGTCTTTTCTCATGTATTTCTCCTCAAGTGTTAATTATTGTTTCCTGCCTCTTGTTCTGCCTGTAACAAACTCAAAAGCAAGACTGGAGGATTTAAGTTTTGCTGTTTATTGGGCAATAAATCTTTAGAAGATTAGAACTAGACAATGTCTTGGGAAAGTATTTTTCATTTTTGCTCTGGCATAATAAATTATAAAAAGTTACATAACAAGGTAGTTCCCAGCATCTTAATATTTGCTGTTCAACCTTGTCTACGTAGAATTCTGGAGGTTTTTGCACATTTTTCTTGGAGTGATGTTCACTTCTAAGCTTTCCTTCTGCTGATTAAGATTGCTTGCTTCTTTCTTGTTACACATAGTTAAGTTTTATCAACGTGTTCACCCATTTCAGGCAGGATTACAAAGGGAATTAATCACTGGAAAAAACAAGCAGAGTACATGGGCTAAACACCAGTGAACATGTAGAAGTACATATTTCTTCAGAGTTGATGAGCAAAGACCCTGTGTGATCCAGGAGCCATCATGGTCTTGAAGGCTCAGACACAAAACTGAAAAGGGGTAAAATTTACAAATCGTCAATGGATAGGCTGTCTAGACCTGTAGAAATCTCCAAAAACCACATGAAACTGTTCCATAAAGGCCTCTGAAATGCTTAGACCTTATATGAGGATTTGGGTGACACCACATTAAACATTAAGGGCCTTATGTCTTCTGAACATAACCACTTCTTGCAGTTAGTTGAAGAGGTAGAACTTATGGGGATGTCAAATAAGTTTGTCAGTCTGAGGCCTGTACCGTTCATACTGAGGAGATACTGAAAGTAATCCACTACGTCTTGAGTTTTCCAGATGTGGAATGTATGATCATCCAGATGTTCTAGGTATATAGTTAAACGTTTTTACCTGAATTCAGTACAGTTTGATTATTCATATGCAGAACATATAGGAAGAATCTCCAAGAAAAAGCAGAGGATGCTCAAACTGTGATAGTAAACCATCTTCTCTTAAGTATGGTGGATAACACTGGTTAGTCTGAAAATGTGCAGTGCTTTCAGACATAAGTTTACAGTAGTAATCAGCCAGACCACTTCTAGCACACAGGAGAAGCCCTTCTTGCCTCTGAGTTCTGAATGTTGACATTAATTAAAGGAGCTGTTGGGTAGTTGCCACTGATTTCCCTTTTGTTCCTTGGAATTTACTCCTGGATCAGAAAGTCAGTGACTGTTACTGAAATTGTTCTGTAGAAGATTCTGGAAACTTGCAGCATAGGTCACTTCATCTTGAGGAGTTAATATTTAAAAGTTCATCTTCAAAAGCTCACTCACTAGCAATTTTTTAAAATGAATAAACAGGTAAGATGTTACAAAATGAAAATAATATGTAGGATACCTGAAAATAACGGAAGCTTTCTAGATACTAGACTAGGTAACCGTTGAGTGTAGTTTTTAATATTTTTTAAAACTGGGTTTCTTTAGGTTGTTTGGGACTATTCATATAAAATTGGCTGTGCTGTTACTCTTTGTAAGGAAGTTGCAGGAATACGAAATGCAGCGAATTTTGTTTGCAACTATTCACCAAGGTAAGTTGCTGGTTTAAATGTTAAAAAAAATGAAAGCAATTGTAATGACATTTAGCTGAAAGTAAATTGGGTTCTTTATTTATTGGTAGTCTGTAAATGCAATCAGAGAAAACAGTGGTTGACTAATTCAGTTACCAAGAGAGCCATGAGCATTAGAACATGTACTTGTTCAGTTCTTTAATCTGTTAACTTTACTGATAAATGTCATTCTGTGCCAATCATAAGCAAACAAATCCCAAACTTAGCTCATGCTCCACTTCATTGATTTCTTTTTCATATGAAACAGAAGAAATGAGAAAGTTGCTGCAGGCAACTGCTGTCAGAGCTGGAATTACCTCTTGCAGTTTTGTACATTTTTTTAATGCGCATTAGCTTTTTACACTGTATTTCTTTTTTAAAAAAAAAAAAATCTTTAGAAATAGAAATAATAGCACAGTTTTTAGATCAGGTGCTTTTCCTTTTTGTGTAACTGAGTAAAGGTAAAACTACATATAATTTCTTGCCCATTTAATAGCTGTGATTATACCAAATGTTCATTAAGTATTAGAAAAAAGTAAATGATGAATGTAAGAAAAAGCTAACTGCAACATGTGATTTTACATTTAAATTGATATTCTGAAAAAACATAGGCCCCAGCCCCTGCTCTTCCTAAAGCAGGAGGAGTTTGAAAACAGAGGCAGATAGTTTTAATATATTTTGTCTCATAGTAATGCACAGTCTATAATCAAGCACGTGCATATGCAACCTGTTTGTCATTTTTAAAACATACATAGCTTGTGAGCTTGCATGACAATTGTTTTTAATTTTTCTTCTAGCAAACCTGGGACACTGTTGGGGAGTTCGATTAGCCTGAACTAAAAATTTCATTGAGCTCTGTCCATCTTCCTCCGTGTAGCCCAAAACTGGACCTGTACTTGAATTGTTATTTTGAAACTTGCTAGGCTATGGAACTTTGTTGTTTTCTTTTTAAAATGTGAAGTAAAATATTTCCAGTTGCCAATTCAGAATAATGACTAATTGACATAACAGGGGTCTGTAAATCATTATCACTTGACTCTTTTTTAATCTGTAACAACGTACCATGTTGGGGTTTGCTGTGCTGTTCTGCATATCCTGGAGAACTGGTAGCTAAGCTGAATAGCTGTCCAAGATGAGGTCTAACATGCCATTGTTATTCTTTCCACTGCTTGATACAACGAACACTCATCTTTACGTCACCACAGAGACAAGCGGAGTTAGAGCAGACAGACCATCTTCTAACAGCCTTTTCCTTTCTAAACTGTCTGAAAAAAGAGGTAAACCTTAGCATTCTAGTCTACCCTTGATTGGTTTAGTGTGGACTTGGTAGTGTAGGTTAATGGTTGGACTGGATGATCTTAAAGGTCTTTTCCAACCTAAACGATTCTATGATTCTATGATTGCCACCAGACCTCACCACACACCAGATACTGGAACAGCCTTTTCCAACTTGACCATCATGACTCCTTCTTGAGGTTTGGACTCTTAGTGCTCAGTTACCCTGCTAGATAGCAGTTTCTTTTCAGAGTTGGGGATGCACCAATTTAAGGACCACCTTGCCAAAATTACTTTATTCAGTGTAGCAGTTTTACAGTGTAGTCCTTCTGTAGACCTTTTCTGAAGGTATTCTGCTGGGACCATCCATGTCTGAGATGCCCAGAGTTTCCTTCCCCCTGTTTAAAGAGAAGCATACACTACTTTGGAACGTGCCCTGTTCTGTCATCATTCTCATACCCAAAGACAGCTGCCACATCGTTGCTACCAGGCTCTGTTTATCATGCTGTTCTTCTCATCTCTTCTACCTACCTTCCTCTTGGTAGGTGAATCTTCATCTATTATGTCCAAGAAACCTTTGGCTCTAAGAAGAACCTTAGGATGGTCTTTAGTATTCTATTTGAAAGGGTAGCAGAATCTTAGAAATGCGCTCTCTAGTAGGATGTCACATAGCTTACTGGACATTCTTCTCAACCATCCTAGAGAGCTTTCCCAACTAGTCATTTTCTTTTACCTAGTTTTTTTCATTTACCTAGTTTCTTTTTCTATTTTAGCATTTCAGTTTCTGTACCATGGGCAGAAAGTCCAAACTAGAAAAATTGAACACTCTCTCACTTCATCTCGGTGTCATTTCTGATAATCATGGCTAAAGGCAAGAAATATAAACAATCTGCTGAAACCTGAAGGAAACACTAGCTAGATACTGTGGTGATTATCAGTTTACAAGATACTGTATCAGCTGCAACTACCAAATTACTAAGAGTTGTATGCATTATGTGCGTACAGGGTGCTGTGACATTTACACGATGACAGAAAAATCCTGATATCTGACAGTTTCTGGAGCCTTCACAGCACTGCTGCGTGAAGGCAGGCTATCAGTCTGAACTGGATTCAGTGGATCCAGTGAAACACTGGTGTCTGAGGTTGGATGCTAGCATTGTTTTTTAGGTACCCTGTACAGTTTGCACTCACCAGCCCTGGGGAGACATACCAGAGGATCTCCATTTGAGAGTTCCAGCTTGTTCCAAAACAAATCAATATTCACATGTTTATGATGCTCAAGTCATTTTGAAATCACATAGTTTCCACTCTACACTATGAAGGAAGTCACTGTTGAGACACTTTAAAATGCCTTGTTAGACACTAGCATGTGGCAGCTCTGTTTCCCATTCCAAACCCTTTTCGAATTATTTTCTTCTCCTGTTTAAAGTCTGTTCATTTCATTTGTCTTTCATAGGAGGAGATGGTGATTAATCATACATTGACTTCTAGGGAAACTAGTTTAATGCATGCAAATCATATATCCCAACTGAAAGTCTTCCATCTTCATGCTCAATTTTCTCTCACATATTTGGAAATGGTATATCAAAATTACCAGGATGATTGTATTAGAAAGTGGTTAGGAATACCAAATACCATCACAGATAGATGGACTGTAGGTGTCATTGAAAAGATTTATTCAGTTCAGTTCAGACTGTTGCTCTTATTTGTGCTTCTATTTTACTATTCTTGAGGAGTCTTTATCTTAAGTCTACTTGTAACCTCTCCTGGTTTTGGAGTTGTAAGTTTCCACTTATTTTAGAGCAAAGGACTTTATAATTGCTTTCTGTTGTGAGTTGAAGGTGATACATTCCAATCTTACAGAATTAGAACAGCTGTATTTACAGTTTCAGATTAGGATTTGTAGTGGTTGAGGTTATCCCAACACTGTTAAAAATAATGAGGTGCCTTTAAACAGCAAGATACCTTCTTTCATATCTGTCTTATTTTGTGAGTTTTAAGTGCTGTCGATCCAAATGCTGTCACTTTACCTTTTCACATCAAAAGAGGATTCGTTGAGGTCCTGGATATTGTCAGGGACAGGATATCCCTATTTTCGTGTTCAGCAGATCATGGCATCCTCAGAACAAGGGATGTGCCATGGCTTTCAACAGATGTGTAAAAACTACCTCCTTGTCCCAACTTCACTCGATGCCTCTCAGTTCTTCTGTTGTAAGAAAAAATGATAATCCATGATACTTCTATGCTTTGGGAATATGAATAACATCTCATTACCTTTTAGTTATTGTACCTCTCCATGATTATGACCTTCCAGGTCTCCACTACCTCATTAGAAAGATAAGTGACATCCTGTGCCTGATAGGTGGCTGTATCTGCCATTTTTAGGACTCGGTTTCTCCTGAAGCAGCTGTGGGAGTTTACAGTGTTAGAGAACCTCAGTGGTTTGTCAGTAAAGTGGTAAATGAAAATCACTGTAAGTAAATATGAAGTGATACACATGGGAAAAAGGTGGTCACCTGTAAAACCATGGAAGATGTCAGCTCAATACTCACTAGCTGTCAGAAGCAAATGAAACAGTAGTAATGAGAGCAAAACATAAAAGACAATAATGTCACCTTTCATAAAGATAGCTTGTAGTTTCTGTGGCCTAAACCAGCAAGACAAGTGAAATTGAAGCCCCTATGATAGTCTCCCCTGTATTTTATTTCATTTAAGTAATGTAGTCTTCAGAAACCACCTGAAGTTCCTTGAGAGAGTGGCTTTTTTTCTCTCTCCAGAAGTTAATTTGTGCCTTTTTTTCCCATTCCTTACACCTTCTCAATGAGGCAGCACTCTACAACCTAGCTGTTAACCAATCTGTAGATATACGGATAGATAGATAGATTTACTCATTTGTAATGACAAGATAGGGCCTGTCAGAGAAAAAGACAAGGCCTTTCATCTCTCCGGATCTGTGGCTGAGTTCTGTGAGTCTTCTCGAAGAGGATTTCACAGTGGATTATGAACTGTGTGAAGTAATAATGTAATTATCAGTTACAGTGGAAGCCTTTGATACCAAGAAAGACTTGCTGGATTGCAGCTCATGCAACATCTGTGGCTGGTTTTTATTTCATTCCTGCAGTTGAAATGTGCGCAGTCACCAACTGGGTCTGCTTTCACACCCTTTTATAAGGCATTATGCTCTCGCCAGAGCTTCTAGAAGCAATGCTTTGTCCTTCAGCCTTTCTTATTCTGGATTCTGAGACCCTTTTTAAGATAACCTTATGGGCTACTGTTTGGAATCACCCATGCTGTGAATGTATGTATGGACAATCACCCAAAAGATATGTTACTTAACCTGTAACTTTATATTTTTGAGAGAGAGAGATATATATATGTATATTCACAACTCTCTTTCCTGCTCTTCTCTGACAAGTTCAAAGCTTATGTTCGATTTGTGGGATCAGAAGATTCCCCTTCCTATTTTATTACTGCCTGGACTGGTTGTCAGGGCATGTTGTTGCAATATGCCACTGTAGATGCTGCTGGGATAAGACTCAGGCCAACTGTGTGTAAATGTATATAAAAGACATTTCAAAGAAGAGTAGTCGCAAGTTGCATGTAATCTTTTGGGGTGTTCTCCCTCCATCTTCTACAACAAAATTATACCAACTCTTAGATCTCTATGCCTGGTGCATAGCTTTTGTTTATAAATATAGAAGATGATACAGGGTGTAAATAGAGACTTGGAATCCTGAAAAAATTATCACCCGTCTTGGTGCAAATTATCTCCTTTGAGGAAAAATCTCCATAGTACCCGCTACTGAGGTGAGTAGAGTGACAAAGAAAACTAATTATAATAGCCCACAGCCCTTTGAGGGGACTAAATCTGTTCCTGTGTTCCCAGGATTAGGCTAGAAAACATAGCATTGTGTCATCTTTTTGAATGGATGCAGCATAGACTGGATAATGTGCTTCCCATTACCCAGTGGTATAGTATAGGCAGTCAGGATGATAGTATCTGCATTGTCATTTTCAGCAGTTGTATGTATAAGGAGCCTTTCTGAGAATATGCAGTGGTAAGTACTGCAGGCTGATCTTCATACTTAAACCCTCCTGCTCCACTTGGATGAGGTGCTAAAGCATGTAAGGATCCCAGTGTCGTTGCTAAGACTGCATACTTACTCTTAGACATTTGCGTTTTGTGGAATGAAGGTCTTGTTTCTCAAGGTTATAATTCACCAGTAAGTAGCTCACAAGATTTCTTTTTTTTGCTAAATAGTTTGTTTTAAGCTATTTGGGAGTGTGTCAGCTTCAGAATTTTCCATTCTAAAATCCTCATTTTTCCTCAATTAAAACCAAGCTTCATCCAGAACATTCTGGTTTAGTAGTCCATATACCAATGTAAAATTTGAATAAAAAGCCTGAGTATTTTCCCATAAGAAAAATAATAGCTTTTTAAGCTCTTTTGTTTCACAGGACAGAACAATGAAAATGAAATGAAAGATTTCAAAATTATTCTGAGATTTTTAATGAGTTGTCAGCAATTCATTGTATTTTCAGTCTATTTACATCAACAAATTATTTAAGAAATTTAACAAATCATTTAAAACTATGTATGAAACTTTGCTTTTTCCTTTGTAGTGGTAATTTTCCAAGACGACCATATATAGAAGGAAGATCGTGCAGTAATTGTGGAAAAGGGGATGCCTGTGAAAATAAACTGTGTAGTAAGTAAAAGCAAATGTAAAATGTAATATGTAAAAGGAAAAAATACAACCACCTGTTTGATAAAGAATGTTGCAAACTGTGTTTTGCTCCTTGATGGTGCTTTCTGAGGTCCAATTCACAAGTAATTTAAAACTATTCTTAAGGTCATTTACATTCAGGAAACAGATAGTTCATATTTTACTGAATCTGGGCGTCAGTGATCATTATGAAGTCTCCATTTGATTATAGACAGGTATAATTCATGATTGTAGTTAAATGTGTTACTGTTTCTATTGCCCTCTGATACTCTGCTGACTTCATTAATCACACCAAAAAAATCAGCATCTAGCTACGTACTTTTCAGAGTAGCACTTGGCAACAGCTCTTGAGTAGTTTCATAGGCCTTCAGAGACTGCAAAGTTACTAATCAGTTGTATTTAAACTAAAATAGTAAAATTGCAGCTACTGAGCCTGTTGTGACTGTTTTGTGCAGCCACAAAATTATGTTCGAGCATCACTATAGCTGATGCTTATACGCTCTGTAAGCTGTCATGGTAACTGTGGGAAAGTCATTCTGGGTCTGTCATTCTTGTTAGAGTTGTAGAAGAAATTATTCTGGGAGGCACATTGTCTTTCTCACCTGGTTATGTCTGTGGGAAAAGGGACTGCATACTGATTTAATTCGCTAGGTATAAAGTAGTTTCCCCATGGTGAATAGGATTCGTTCCTTAAAGAGGGTAATTCTTTTAACTCTGTTCTTGTCAAGAAAATGAATTAGTGTCATGAATTGCTAAGTATGCATCATGTTTTGATGGAGTGAAACATCAAGAGACAGTAGGTGGTCTCTCAAGAAAACTTTAGACCTCACAACTTCCACCTACTGGGAAGTCACAAGCTAGAAGTTTCCTATGGCTAAGGTTAGGACATGTGTTTTTAAGTTTCGAGTGGGGAGTAAGGCCTGTGGTTGCTGTTTAACAGTTACTATCTTTACTCAATATATGTGTTAGTATAGCTTGAAAAACATTCAGCAGTCCTGTAGGTCTTAATTTTTTGGTAGCAGACACTTCTGAAAAACAGATACAAGGAATACCAGGTTATACTTGATCCCAGGATTAGGCCCCACTTAGGAAACAGTCTGTCTCCTGTTCTCATCCATAAAATTGTATTTGATAGGATTTACTAGTTCATGTGTATATTCTGAGTATTAAACAGTACTTAGTGTTTCGAGAAAGACAAAGGAGAGAGGGTTCAAACTGAAAATAAAGCGGCTGCATAATATGTCCCTCTCCCCCGTCCATGTCATTGTTATAAAAAAGAATAGCTTTATGCAGACATTAATATTATGAAGTATTGTTTTTAGTTTTTATCAAAACATTTTAGCTTTTGTTTTAGTTGTAAGGTTTATCAATGGGAATTCACAGAGTTTTTCAGATTCTATTGACTGTAAATCTGATGAGTTTGTTTTAGCTGGCTAGTAAAGATTTAAGGAGAGAAATCATGTCTGGCTGGTAAAACTGTTTATTTTTTTCCCTTTTTCCAGGAAATCCAGAACGTGATAAAATTATCTGTACGTATTACAGTTTTACACTGCTACTTACATTCCTCAGTTACTTTAAATATAGGTACTCCCAATAAATCTTACATATATATATATGCTTATTTATAGATTATTCAAGATGGCATCCCCCTTGGGAGTTCAGAATTTTATGTGATGAGGCTTGTATCACTCTTGTAGTTTTGAGAGCATCGCTGATGATTCTTGGTTTTGTAGCTGTTTATTTTATCAAAAAACACTTCACAAACATGTGTATGTCCACCTAACTAGATTGGAAATGCATACTATTTTCTGAAGATATGCACTAATGAATTAAGCAAAAAGTCATACTGACATGACTTTAAAGACAACTTTATTTGACAATAATTTTGTTGCTATTATTTGATGCTCCTTAGAGAGAGCTAACATGCCAAAAAAAGTGAAATTATATGTGGGTAAAACCCATATTGGGAAAATACTAAGCTAAAGATGGTATCTGGTTAAGGTTTGGAGCCTTATTTTTAAAATATCACATTTCCCAAAACTGTGACATACTCTATTCCTGGAACTCAAGGAGAAAAGTGTGTGTCAATTAAACAAGTGTTGCAATTCATACTAAGCCAATATTTGAAATGACAATTGCTTAATTTAGATGCTGAGAGAAAGCTAGCATCATATTATGTGCTCAGTCTTGTTTCCTAGAGTGACAGAATGTTCTGGATAAAACTTACAAAGTAAGAAGATTTCATAGAAAGATGGTTCTTTAGAAGTCTTGATGTTTGTGAAGTTAGTACAACTCGCTATTTATAAGATAATGCATTTATTGTTCCTCATTCAAACTGTGAAGCTTTAGATTTATTATTATTTTGTTCCTATCTCTCTCTAAACCTTGTGCTTAATTTTAATTCTTTTATTCCATGTTTTAACATGTACCATTGCTTACTCATAGCATATTTCCTGTTTTGTGAGTGTTCTAAAGTTGTAATAATAAATTTTCTTTATTTTACCTTGAAACTTGCTCAAGTCCATTTGATCAACACAGAGGTTACTCTTCTATATCCAAGATGTGAAGTCTTTCATTAATATGCTTTAATTTCACTTTCTCCAAAAGACAGATCAAATTTATACAAGAATCTGAAGCTTTTTTTCTTACCCGGATAGCAAACTAGATTTTCTCCTGATTGTATCTTAGTCTTGTCTAGTGAATGCCAGTATGACTGTATGAAACTTCACTATTCTTAGGTAATGCTTCACCATTATTGTAAGATGAACAAATAAAAAACCCCACAAAGTCAAATTCGGCTGTTTCCTTAATGTTCAGAACTGAAATTGAGCTTAAACGAAGCTTCTATGAGTTCAACTGTAGGAACTAATTTGTCCTTTTCCCCAATTTGGTGTCTTTGGGAGGAAATCTATGAATGGCTGAGAAGATAGTTCATTCCAAGATCCCCTTTTGAAAAACAGCATGGATGTGGACTGTAATGGTTTGCTGTTATCTTCTCACAGGAAATTCCTGAGTTACTCCATAATATTCCAGTAGAATTGTAGCGGTTCTTGAACTTTCATGCTTCCATACTGCTGTAGTGCACCAACCATTTCTGGTGTTCTCCTGTGAAAAGGGGCTTACGATGGACAGCAGAAAAGCATTCTCTTTTTTCAAATGCCTTGAATTTAAAAAGAGAGAAACAAATGTGACAAATGATAGTAATTTAAGAAATTTGAATCATGTATGAAGGGCAAGGAAGATAACCAGAGATTCTGTCCAGCTAGGCATATGCTTGTACTCTGTAACAAGCTTCCTCTATCTATGTTGTTGAGATAATGCTAAATCCTTCATCCTGCACACCCTGCTGAAGCTTTGGCTCCATCAAGGAATCACAGAATGGTTGAGGTTGGAAGGGACCTCTGGAGGTCATCTGGTCTAACACCCCTGCTCAGGCAGGAACAGCTAGACCTGGTTGCACAGGACCATGTCCAGGCGGCTTCTGAATATCTCCAGGGGTGGAGACTCCGCAGCCTCCCTGGGCAACCTGGGCCCCAGTGCTCAGTCACCCTCACAGTAAAAAAGTGTTTCTTGATGTTTGGAGGGAACCTCCTGTGTTTCAGTTTGTGCCCATTGCCTCTGGTCCGGTCACTGGGCACCACTGGAAAGAGCCTGGCTCTTGTCTTCTTCACCCTCCCTTCAGGTATTTATATGGTTCAAGAGATCGCTGTCTTCCACAGCGCATTATCACTGCCTGTCTATCTTCCCTTCACAATCTGTAGCAGAGCTATCACCAAAGGGAGGAGCCATCCTTCAGTGAGTGCTTCACGCTTCCCTTACCCTTTGGTTGAGAGGAGGGAGTGAAACAGGCTGTCCTTGAGGGGCAAAGTAGATGTCATAAGGGGCCGTCTTGGCTGGCAGGAGGTAGGTACCACAGGGGAAAGAACACCTACCAAACTGTCATGCTTTGGTCTGTATCAGAACACAGTACTGTGATCAGAGAACGCAGCAAGCAATGCATTGTGCTTTTGCTCAGTTAGGCCAAGGGGCGTAGTTGCTCTAAGCAGCACTATACAAATTCCCCTAACCAAAACTACAGTAAAACTACCTGCAGTCCAACCATATACTGATGGCCTCCCCCATTAATTGTGAGGCTGTTTACTGCCTCATTATTACAAAATAACGGCAAGATTTTTTTTTAATTTTAATGAACAATTACTAAATACATTATTACAAAATAATTCTTGTGGAAATCCAATACCACCACCATCCTTTAAATTAATCTGCTTTCTGCCCTGAGGTGAAATTGTGTAATAGAAGTAGCAATGCATGTCAGAGTATTAGTTTATTCACAGGTCAGGAAGGCCAAGTGATCTTGCAGCTGCCTAAGCCTGTGGACAGAATGAGAAAACCCAGCAGATCCACCTCAGTTTGTTGAGCTGAACCTAGTAAGTCAAGGACAAACAGATTCTCTCCCCAGCACAAATAACAGTACTCTGTGGGGAAGTTGATTATTTGAGGACAAAATTAAATGTAATTTTACAGATTCCCAGGCATCTTGGATTTTTGTAATAGTCTGTAATCCACCAGCCTTTAGTCCTCTGACTGAATCGCACATTAGGGAAAAACTAAGAATCTTAGGTCTTATGTTTCCAGCCATTTTAAACTGAAAGCAGGTGAGACGTGAGAAAGGGAGATGTAAACATGGGGATTTTTTTCAAAATCATTGGGCTGTACAGCTTCCTGCCCATACCCAGCTCATTGTGCTAAATTTCACTTGAGATCAGTGCAGGGACAGGCAATGCTTGTATTGTCCAGACAAATAAAATGTGATGCCCAAATCCCAAAGCTTAGTTTTCATCTGGTTTACAAGATCCGCTGATTAATGCTGGCAAAGGTTTATGACTTTGTGAAAAAATCGGTTATAGATGCTTGAGGGCAGGCTGGTATAATTATAGACAGAATCACTAGATGGAGCCAGAGTCATCTCTGAAGGACAGGATTTTATAATCTGGACTATGCT